AACTTGACACTAAGGGCAAATAGGACAATCACTGATGTGCTGATGTACCAAAAACAAACCAGTTAGTGTTGGCCTTGATTGTAGGAGTTTAGAAGTTTTTTCTTTATGATGTCAAATTTAGCAAGCGTTGTTTCAGCTGATTAATATTTTATCTTTGACCAATGACTGTTATACACCACCTCATTGTCATATTCAAGTAAGTGGTTGCCGTCTTCGAGGTTGGGATGTTGGAGATATTTTTGTTTGCGTTGCTTTTTCCTTTGGCGATTAGCAGTGATGTAATCCCTCTAACGAAGAAGACGAGAGATGAAATGGAAAAGCACCCCGTTGCCCTTGTGAAGTACTATGCACCGTGGTAATTTGCTTTTTTTGGTGTGGATATATTTTTTGCAGGTGTGGCCGCTGCAAAGAGCTTGCACCTCATTATGAAGAAGCCGCAGAGGAGCTAAAAAACAGAGACCCCTCTGTGCCCCTTTTTGAAGTTAATTGCGATGAGGAAACTGACATGTGTAATGAAGCAGGAGTTCAAGGCTACCCCACTCTTAAAGTTTACAACTATGGTGAATACATGGAAGAGTTTGACGGCGAGCGAACAAAAGGCATGAGATATTTTGGAATTTATTGAAACATCAGATAGTATTGTGAATTTTATGGCTTTGCGCGCCGGACCTCCTGCTATCGAAATACCTGATGAAAGTCAGTATAAGGAACTACTAGAAGGTGACGACTATGTAATTTCGCTTCAATCCAAGAAGTCTGATGAGATTGATGAATTCGAAAAGTTGGCGCGAAAGTTCAGAAAGTTCTTTAAATTTGTTTACACAAAGAGTGGTTTCCTGAGTTCATCGAAGGATTCGTAAATGTGCCTTGTCTCAGTGACTTTTTAGGCTCATTCGGCTTACATTGCCAAAACAGCTGGAGACGAAATTGGAAGACAGGTCTAAGACATACGATGGACCGCTTAAGTCTTCTGATATTGAAAAATGGATAAGAAATAATGCGTAGGTCAGCTATCAAAACGGTTATTCCATAGTGTTGGGATCGCTGGTATCCGTGACAAAAAGATGAAGGAGTTTTTTAAAAAGCCTTTGTTGGTGGTATATACACAGATTAACTTTGAGCGGAACCCGTCAAACATCCGCTATCACAGGAACCGTCTGATATCGGTGGCAAAGGATAGTAAATCGGAGTTGCAATTTGCTCTTTCGGACGCATCAACATTTGCTGATGAGCTCTATGAAATGGGTTTCAGCATAACGGATGAGAGCGCTACGGTGATAATCATGGGAGAAAATGGAAAGAACTACTTGATGAGTGAGAAATTTGGGTATGTCTCTAATTTCAAGTTATTGACGTTTCGTTTTAGTGTACCGGAGCTAAAGAAGTTTGTTAACGGCTTTGCCGACGGATCTCTCAAACCATACATAAAATCGGAACCGATACCGGAGAAGCAAGAAGGCAGCGTTACAAAGGTTGTCGGGAAAAATTTTGAGGACGTCGTTTTCGACAAATCAAAAGACGTTCTTGTCGAGTTTTATGCACCCTGGTGTGGACACTGTAAAGCCCTAAAACCGAAGTATGAAGAACTTGCCAAAAAACTTTCGAAGGAAAAGGATATAGTCGTTGCTGCTATTGATGCAACAGCGAATTCCTTCCCACCTCTCTTTAATGTTCGTGGATATCCAACCATATATTGGGTTCCCAAGGCTTCCAAGGACAAACCTAAAGCATATGAGGTATGCTTGTGCTATTCACCAGAGTTAGTGTTTAGGGTGGTCGCGAGGTTAGTGATATGCTTAAATTTGTTGCCAAGTCGGCGACCGACGAACTGACTCATTACACTCGTGAAGGCCAGCCAAAGCAGGAAGAATTGTAGACATTGAACCATGTCGTAGTTTAACGGTTGTTTTTTACTCGATTTCATGTGTGTTGATATTAAACATACCCGCTTCTTCGCATGCACTTGTAATCACTTCCTTCCGAACCGTGAATAAACTTACTTTAACCCCTGCGCATCAGTCCTAGCTGATTGTTTGGTGTTCCAAGTAGTCTCCGTTTCATAGATCATTTTGAGTGGTTGTCTAGCATACGGAAGCACGATCTTCTGGAAAGGTAACCGTTGCGTTCCCCATATCACCAGTCTCCTATGAGACGTAGGTCGCTGGGATTGGCAAACCAACAGCAGGTTCGGTGGAATGTTGTAAAAACCCTAATTTTCTTGAATAAACGACAGAGACGCCCTACAGCTTCAAACTATAAATACACATTTAGGAAGGGCTCGGTATGTAGCGGCTGCAGAGATGAAACCCTAGAGCTGACCTTATCCCAGAAGGAAATTTATCCTGTGATAAGCTCAGTGAATTGAGAGTAGTTTTTGTATGTGGAGCAGAATACACCTGTCCGCGTGTTCACAAGAAACTTCGGAAACGTTGCAATAACTAAAGGGCGTATGATGGAACACATCTCATCCATAAGGGGAGGTGCTAAGAGCCGTTAACTTGTTCCCAGGAGCAGTTTGAGGCGCAAAAGCACAAAAAAGGAGAGCACACGTAGTGAAACAAAAGGTACAGCATCACGAATGTCTCGACAACATCATTCTAAATATTCCGCTCTTCGTATCTACGTAATCTAGCGGAAGCTGTTATTCGCAATATCACTTTGACACGAATTAAAAATCCGCCCATTACATGCTATGTTCGGGTACGCATACCAAAATCGTGAATGTGATAGTTACGCTCTAGGCGGCATGTTGTAATCCCACGCCCTTATATACGCGCAAACGTGGAAAGGGATATTTTAAAAGGATAGGAAGCCGCCCTATCTCATGGTCAACAGTACCAAGTGGGGGACGTGAACAAACAAGCACGTACAAAAAATAAAACACTCCATATTAATACAGCAGACGAGTCCAATTTAAAAAAGAGCAAGATTTACCAAAACAAAGAAAAAAATTTTAAGCTAAATGCTACAAAAAACAAAACCGCAGAAATACAAGTTCTTCTAGCATTAAAAATTTTTAATTTTTGACACATTTTATTTTACAAAAAAGACCAAATGCGTCTTAGTGGCGTGCAAATCTGCATGAATTTGTTGGGTTATTACCAGCATTTTGCGTTAAAAAGGCCTTCCTAGCCCCGTATGATCGGCTGGCTGGTCTACGAACATCCAACCACCGCGCTCTTTTCT